GGGTGCTCCCTTTTTTTGTTTGTTTGTTTTGTTTTGTTTTTTCTCCTTTGACCTCAAATCCCAGCTCTTCACACACGTGCTCTGCTCTGGTGCCAGATAGCTGCTTCCTCTTCTTTACTGGGGAGCCCCTCCTTATTGATTTGAAACTGCTGTCTCCCTCCTGAAACCAAAATTCTCACCCCATTTCCCCTGTGGCAAATATCAATGAGGCCGCCAGTTTGGCCAAAGTACTTCCCAGCGTCTCCACCAAACTAGATCAGTTCTCTGTTTCCTGTCCCCAAAGAGTGGTAACTTGGTGGTAAATATTCATAGGCACTGTCTTTACTTTTGTCAAATCAGCAATGGAAGTTTCATGGCTAAACCCCAGACTTTCACGCTTACCAAGGGATTTCAATCTGTAAAGAGAAAAACAAAAAGAAATTCAAACTCACTGAACTAACTTCATAAAGTAAAGGTAGATGGGTAAACTGGAGCTGTTATAATCAGCCACTGAACATACAATACATATCAGAAATACTAAATGAGTAGTAATTGAGCAAAATAGAAGAAAGATTAAAGATGCAATTCAAATGTGTTTAGGGTATTAAAAAACACGTTCTGCTATTAGTTCTGATAACCAGAAATTCGTGGAGATAGGTGCATGTTGACATCTAATGTTGCCAGCTACAGTACTTAGAGAAGGTCATAAGCTCATGAAAGAGGAAAGGTAGAGGCAGAGCAAAAAGTGGGGCCACAAACGCAGCGGCGGGAGAGCTGCTCAGGACAGGGAGGGAGCGAGGCCCCCAAGTGTCAGGAGGACGCCAGCCGAGCCAGCAGGCCACCGAAATGTGGCGCGACCTGCTTTCCAGAGTCCTATCCCAGGGTCACCTGCTCGAGCTAGAGGCTGGAGCAGGTACAGCCACAGCTGCGGCTGAAGTGAACTGGCCAAAGGTGGGGCGCCGCGCGGGCCAGAGATACAGAGGCCGCCAGCGAGAAGGAGGCAAAGGGGGACGGGAAAGGAGAAAACGGGACGGAAAAGCGCGAAGATCCGGGCGGGGATGGGGCGCGCAAGGAGCAGGTGCGAAATAATGGCACCGGTGTTGTTGGGGTCTGAGGTCCCCACGGGGCTGGGCGGCAGCGGCGCTGGGCCGGGGCGCGGGCCCCTCCGCCGCCCGACGGCCGCTGCGCTGCCTTCCACAGGTGTGGTTCCAGAACCGACGGGCCAAGTGGCGGCGGCAGGAGAAGCTGGAAGTGTCGTCCATGAAGCTGCAGGACTCCCCCCTTCTCTCCTTCAGCCGCTCCCCTCCGTCAGC